CCTCCCCTCCCCTCCCCCTCCCCTCCCCCTCCCCTCCCCTCCCCTCCCCCTCCCCTCCCCCTCCTCCCCCTCCTCTCTCCGTCTATCTTCTCCATACTGTAGTGTCATTGTCAAGAACTCAGATTTCCATGCTCCGTGATAACGCACATTATCATTTATCGAGAATGCCGCACGGGAATGGCTCGATCGAGTGCAACGCTCCATTGGCGTTTCCTCCTCGACGAAATGTCTCTTGAAAATGGCCCTGTATCGATGTTGGCCACGGAATATCGATGGCAGTCGTCGCGCAGACAACAATGCATGTAACGTTCGGCGTCACCCCTCTAGTATATCGCCGAAAATTAGTTTCCGTGATAAATCCGTCCGCGCGCGCGGCATGCGTCGTTCGCGGTTATCGGCGCTCGCCACTGGCGATCCAATCCCCTCCTGTGTCCTCGGTATAAAAACGAATTTCTGGATTTATGACCTGAGCACCTTTTCCAATATACGTCGCATCTGTCGACGACAGCGGAAAGGATCGAAATTTTTATCGACAATTACGTTTGAATATGTCTAAATCTTTGAGAAATACGCTGTTGTTTTAGGGCAAAAAACATTGTGTAAGATATCATGAGAAAGAGACCGGCCTTTAATCGTTTATGTTTCTCGCAGTTCCGTGAATATTACTTACAGATAGCGGTTTTTTTTTTAAACACAGTGAAGGGAAGAAATATACATTCGCAAAAAGCAACATTCTAATTGGCGGTTTTCCTCGTTCAGATTTCGAGGCTTTTATTACCGAAGTTCTATCGAGGCAATCATTCGCTCGGCTAGATAGGACGCGAATTTAGCGTAATCGGCTTTGAGATGGGTTGTTTAGCTTGAAAAGTGAGTAGTTTAAGCGGTCGCGCTCAAAATGGTACTGATATTAGCCGCGACTTGCGGCAGAATCTTCAGTTCGCAACTCTCTGTGCTGGTTTAACCGATCACTTTAAGTGAATGCTTCCTCCCTTTAATCAATGGAATTAATTTTTTTTTTAAATCTGATTAAAGAATCATAGTGCTGTGAATTAAAATTGGATCTATCGCGACAATAAAAAGAGCGGTAAATTACGTATTCCGTTGAGAATGTAATATCCAAATGGCGCTTATTCGAAGTGGAGAAGGCGTTTTAAAAAATTAGTCCAACATTTTCAAGCTCGCAGATTGAATTGCACTTTTTTTCCCAATATATTTCCGCAAAAAAGTATTCTTGTTATATTTGTTCACTTTCGTGCGCTTGCAATCTCTTTATTAAATCATTTGTTGCGGAGCAATTGTTGACAGAAAAAAGTGGTAATATGTACTACCGTTAAAAACAATCGTGCAAACTTTTCTTGTGCAAGTAACTCGGACACGGTAGATTTAGAAAGTGCGCGTATTAATTACATAAGAGAAAAATATCACCACTGGCAATATTTCGATTAAACTGCAAATACGAGTAGCAAGTTGAGATTTGTTGAACTACGTAATTGGATCTTGGTGGCTTGGCTTCATGGTTTTATCTCGTTTAATCGCGGAGCAGGTGATGTTTGCAATGCGAGTATTTATCTTTCTCGTTTTTCGTCGCAGACGACTTTCGACGTCAGATTGATCTTCGTCGTTAACCCTCCTTAACGCAACGTTATATACGACGCACTCACACCAACTTTTATTCATGCCGGGACTCCTAAGGATAAACAGAAGGAAATGTGTTTTCCCAGAACCGGATATCGATCTAAGGGAGATCCCGGCACGAGCTACGCGCTAAAAGGGGGAATCTACGGGAGTTAAAGCTCCACTGTTTTCGAAATTATTGATTGTCTGACCTATCTAAGGATTATGGTGATAATTTGTTTTTAGACAAGATGATTAGCGCGTTGACAAGTATATTCTTCGCTCACGGTGAGTTCAGGTCTCGTGCAATAGCGAGGGAAATCCTAAGCGGCATTGTTCTAAAATTGAACGCGATTTAGAACGCCATCATTTGAAACGCATAATCGTTCGCCGTTTCAAAATAATACCTTAATTGTTCTGTATTCGAATAAATTTAGAGAATCATATTGTGTCTATAATAAAAATTATATCAATAAAAACCGAATGGTGTTAAGAAAAATGTCTATTAATATATTTATTATTTATCTCGATATAAAGAAAATTAAAAAATAGCCTTTTTAAGTGCAACAGCAGTATACTTTACAATAATATTGTATGCGTTACAATGCGTACGAATTTAATCGCGTATTCGCGTATCCGGGTAGCAATCGAAATATCTGGATTTTTGGATACCAAGACAATACTGAAAAATTCGAGCAATAGGCGCGGGTATTTGGGTGGTATAGAAATGATCTAATTTATATTAATAGTTATTTGAAAAGAAAAACTCACCGATCAATGGATATTGCCATCAGAGTGAAGACGCTAGCGCATATGGTGAGGACCGCGATAAACTGGGAAATCTTGCAGTAGAGGGTGCCGAACGGCCAGTGACTGTTGAGCATGTACGTGTAGTTGAAGATGACATTGAGAGTGGAGACCATGGCGTCCGCGATGCTGAGGTTCACCAGGAAGTAATTGGTGACGGTGCGCATTCGTCTGTGCGCCAACACGATCCATATCACTATCAAATTGCCGCCGGTTGCCACGGCGATCATGCAGGCGAACAGAAACGTCCAAATCATCTGCCGCCACCACGGTAGCACGAATTGATTTCGCGGCTCGAGATCCGTATAGTTGCTGCCGTTGTGATAGCCGTCATAGTCGTACGTAGTTACGTTCCAAGGGTAAGACGTGGTGTTGAACAACGTCGAATCGTTAAAGTTCTGCATCACGAATCGCTAATCTCTCTCCGTGATTTCCGTTTGAGCTAGACGAACGAAAGACTGTCGGGTATTTTTACTCACTGCTCTCTTCCACCGCTTTAATAGTTGCCTCTATTCATCTTTCAGTTTGTAATTTTGTCTTGCGCGGTGTTTATTTCTTTTTATCCCATCTCAAAGATCGCAGCCGGAACGCGCAATTTTCATCTCCTCGTTTGCACTTCTGTTACTCTCCTCCTCCTTTTCCTTCTTCAAGATGCGCGGATTTCTTCGTAACTTGATACGCGATTGCAACATCAATAGCGTCATAAGGAGAGACTCGTTAGATCGATCGATCGTTGGATAATACATTCATGTATTATTTTATTTCTTTTCACGCTGAACGTGTTCGAGATATGCAAATACCCTTGAAAAATATTTCCTCGGCGCTTAATTTAAAAGATGAAAATTTGCTGCTGAGAGAAACCACCGGGACCATTATCTTTCAGGGCAAATAACTTACATAATCCTGTCGACCACGTATAGTGGCCAACTAACTCGGCCAAGTTTTCATGACCACGTCGATGTAACTTCAATAATTGTATTACACCTGTTCTCGTGTAGCAGCCGAGCATGTTACGATCGAAACATCGAGCAATGTTCGGAATTTCCGTCTTTCGACTCTGCGTTGCCACGAGAAGAGACTCAGTCGCCTGGTCAAAGAATCAGCATTCATCAATCTCGTGTTCTCGTTGTTGCGACGCCGCTGTTGCGACAATATTCGTTTTACGCTCCTTCGGCGTTGTCGATTTTCTTATTCACGTTCAATGTTCCGCGTGAAAGCGCAATTATCGGATGTCGAAAACACGAACCTATGATTTCGGCGCGTGTTGTATTGCGCGTCGGTGAATCGCGTTTTTCCGACTGGTCGATTTTAATTGGAAATCGCTCATTAGCGACGGGACAAAAATTGATTTGGAATGAACTCGCAGCTTGTGTTACGCGTGGGCGGTCTCTCGATTACGCGAAACCGTTAATTCAAGTCCATTTTCCTGTTTATCGATCTTGTTGTAACAATCTTTCGGGCCTATTTCATTACTTCATCGCGGCAGCGGTGAGCACGTCGATAATATCGGACTGTTACTGTATAGCTTCGTTAGTTAGACTGCAAGGTAACGCCGGCTGCACGGCCGACAGCTTCAATTTGACGTTCGAACTCACTTCCACTCGCGTTTCATGCACGGGCGCTCTCTGCAAGATCCGCGTCCCAGATCGTCGACCAGTCGTCCCCGCCGGATGAAGACCCATTGTCCTCACGGCTCATTCGCCGAAGATGAATGCGCGTTTTTTTTCCGATATCTCCGAAGCTTTGATATAACTCTTTTCCTTCGTAGATGTAGTCGTTATCGTGACGGAGTTTTTGTACCCGTTTTTTTATCTACAATTAGAAATCGAGATCACAGTCATTGATTATTACGCCGATCTTTCGACTTAGGAAAGTCTGATGGATTTCCGGTTTATGGGAGTTTTGCGTTTAATCATCCCGCCGTTGCTCCAGCCGGCGCGTATATCGTCGTTCGGTGCTATTTAACGATTACTGAAGCATCGTTAACGTTTCGCCGTGAAATTCGTCCGTCGTTTTACGACGGCGAGGCGATTTTTTTGCACGTTAACTTTTCTAGCTGACGAGTAGCATCGCACAGTAATACAATAAATATCGCTTCTGGAATTTACCAGCGCCGTTCATCGTTGTTCCACGTTTTGTGCTGGAAGAAAAATCTCACTCTGGTCCGTCATATGATAGAATACCTAATGGGGCCGAGGTTTTGTAACGATTCTCGTCAAACATTTATTCTGTTCCACGCGCTCATAATTCAATGCCCCTTTTTGCGACATTGTATCGCGTATTGTTGCAAAATTAGGCCAACTGAACTTTCTTGTCACGTTTCACGCAAATGGAAATGTTACGTCCTATTTCAGCTTTTTTACGATTTCGTGGTCTATGGCCGATCACGTGGGCGGGAGAGCTTTCGCGTCACGTCGCTAATAAAATCTTCCCCGAGCACAAAGTCTGCATTATCGTCGACTTCCCGTCGCGTATCACGCGCGGCGGACACGCCTCTCGGTAGCTTCGTGCATTCAATCGGGCGTCGACAGTAACCGGAAAACTGAATCTCCGTTTAATTCTCCGTGCTTTCGCGATACCTCTTGCACAGATCCGCCATCCGTCGCATTACGTGGGTCGCCATTTTCGTCGTCCGACACGCTTGGAATTTTAAGGTACAACGGTTCCGCACATTTTTCTTCACTACGATGACACCGCTCGCAATCCTTTTTCGACGTTACTCCGGACGAGAGTTTCGCCTTGTATTCCACGCGAACACCGTCGGAAATCTTCTTAATTTTCAATTGGCTTCGAGATTTTGCAACACCAGCGTGGCGCGCCGCGTTTATAACAGTTTAAGTGAAATTGTTCTTTCATAGCCGAGAGCGCTTTGGTGAAAGATAAAGGAAAGCGGGGAGTAGGAAGTGGCGGGATCGCGTCGCCGTAGTTTTCAGAAAGTTCCCGACTCGCACCGAAAGAAAGTTCGTCCGACGTTCGTGTGATCGATACGAAAGTTCTTCGGGAACAACGCGTAACTAGTCTCCGGGACATACAATTTGTGAAACTTCGCAGAAGGCTCGCTTTTCGAGGACATTCGATGGAGAGGAGCTTCCACAAGAATCTCACCGCAAAAGCGTTGATCGACGAACCGCAGAGACCTACCAATTCTGTTTTCGTTCGCCGGCCGATGTTGCGAAGACGTTTGCAGACTGAATATTATTACGGTGGCGTTGTCACCGCTGTCTGTCAAGCGTGAACGAGAATCTCGTTGTTGAAATTGGTGTCCTCTTTGTAAAATTCCATGTTGACTTAGAATTAATTCTACAGCGTGTCCTTATGCTTACGAATTTCTCGCTGATCACCGTTTCGTCGTCGTGCCTTCTACGATCTGAAAAAAAATTATAAAATCCAAAGTTAGTTTTTAAGATCAAAACACCATTTGCGCGAAAACGTGAAAAGATCTTAAATTATTGCGCGCAATTTTTCCAATGTGGTCTGGCAGTAAAAATGTTCGGCCCGTATTTGGGCGATAAGTCTGGGGAACGTAATTGACGGGTGTGAAATTTCATCTGTCTTGTTCGATAAGAAAAAGAAGATACGGAGGGAGAAGCACGTTTGCAGAAGGGCGCAGAGCGAAGAACAGATGCGTTGATTATGAGCCATTAAATTTCCCAAAGGAATTCAATTATAAAACGGGACTATATTGGTGCGCGTTTGTCTCAATTAAAACGCTCGAGGATTGCAAGATGCGGCGCGTTTCGTGTACCTTCGGATAATTGTTCCACGCAATTGAGATATTATTATTCTTTCCAATCATTAAATTATCACTTCACCGACGCTTCATCAAGATGTAATCGTCGATGACCGTCGTGCCAAAAGGGTGAAATTATTATTTTGTTAAATAATTGTTGCAAAACAATATTTATATATATTTAATAGTCACCTTTGTCACATCGGTCTGTTTTGATATCGTTATTTTACGTTTACATATATCGCACCACTGTCCGTTTAATTTTCTCTTGTCAAACAGTGAGATATCATTTGCTTAACTACGTTGCAGCCGTATTATTCTTTCTATTATTCACGTTATTTGTCTACGGTAAGTTTCTCGCACATACACCGTAATATACGCACAAAGAAAAATAATAATAACCATTCTTCATCTGGTTTCTTTGATAAAATGGTGTAATTATTAAATGATATATTTAGAAGAATCTATATCTAGAAGAATATTTTCTTTAAGCATATAATATTTCTACGTTGAGTGATTTGTTGTAATGCATAAATATCATGAGTTACATATTAGAATTGAGATTGTTTTCTCTAGCGTACACGATATTCTACGATCTACAAGTTTTGTCGAATTTGAAGAACCAATGTAAGCTTTAATTTATATATATAGATATAACATTACATTGGCTATTGCCCTCCTTTGATACTAAAAATTGTTACTTATTGCCGTTTTTTCCATGTGGAAGCTCAAAAGAGTACCTACTGAGAACCTCTAAGAAGGCTCCAGGTTCTATAAATATGTAGTTCTAGAAAATAAATATTCAAAATCACTTAATAATCTATTATCTCATATACTCTACTTGCATTTAATGTATGATCTTGATTTCAATAAACAATATATTAATTATTATAATTTGCTTAACTGTAAATAGGCTACTAAGCAAATATTATATAAATAATATTCACTTATCTCTTACATATCTATCTGCAGTTAAGTAAATTACATAATTAATGTATTGCGCTTATTGAAATTAAGATATGCATTAAATACAAATAAAGTAAATGTGATAATAGAATATTAAATAATTTCAAATTATAGGTCAAATATGTAATAAAATATTAAATAAAATTTTGAATTTCAATTGTTTTTTATTTATTCGAATAAATTTTTAGTTATTTATAATACTAAATATAATACTGAGTTGCACTTAATTTTTTAAAATATTTTTTGCTATTCATTTGTTATTATTTATTTTATATTATAACATTTATTATATTAATCTGAAATAATAAAAATTGAACTCAATTATAGATTAAATATTAATATTTTTATTGCTAGAAATTTTGATAAGATTTGGAGATTCAAAAGAGATAGGAGTTGTAAGAACGAAAGTAGGAATTGTATATTTAACATCAATAAAAATAAGGGTTTTCTAGGACAACAAGATTAAAGAAAGGCCAAAAGAAGACATAACACTTTCAAGATAGAACTTGTAGGTCAAGGAACATTATTAGAGGCACAAATAACCATGTATGAGGTTTATAGTAGGTTTTAAATTTCGACTCGGGTTACATATTAGAATTGAGATTGTTTTCTCTAGCGTACACGATATTCTACGATCAAATAAATGTTTATTCATATTGTTTGTCCACGAAATGTGCTTTTCCGATACTTGGTTCGATCTAACACTGCGACCTCGTTCCTCATATTACATGTCGCTCACACACGCGCGAGAATAGTTATTACTGAAACGATGTTTTGCGAAAAAATTGTGTAAAACTTGACTTACAAAAAAATAATAATTTTTCTCTACGGAAATAAAAAATAAAATAATAATTAGCACCATAAATAGCTTTATTGTCGCGATTGTGCTACGAAACCGCAAGATTAACGGGGAAATTATGCGAGTGGCGGCACCTTTTTCGCTCGTACACGCGCACATTTGAATAACGTCATGCTAGACAAATTGCAACCAAAACTGTGTTGCCGCTGGCAACAATTATTTCAGTCATATAGCGTACAATTAAAATCAGAGTTTATGCGACCTATCCGTAGATAGATAAGGAATAAAGAAAGAATTCCATTCTAAAACGCAAAAGAATTTTGACAATTTTTAGGAAGAATTATTATAATATATTATTCCAAAACTTTGCATACATATTTCTTTAGAAGCATCTTTATAAATATCTGTGTGACAAAATACTTCTCTTGCTTTCTAATTTAGAAGAATGTTAAAAAAGATATGTTGCGAATGAGCATAATTACCGCGGTTCTAGAATAAAATATCCTTTTAAAACAACATCGCAGGATACATTATCGTCCGTATATATTATTATGCGCACCAAATAATAATCCGTAAATCGAAATTTCATGCACCGCCGGTCTCTTAATTTCCACACCAATAATTTGTAAATGACTTATATTCAATGCGCGCATTTTCCAAAAAAGTTATTTTACTTTCTTTCATATTTTATAATTGTGTTGTATTTTCATCTGCTCCATGTTTTATATTCCGCGTAACTCAATATTAATCGGGATTTATCGCCCGGGCCGAGTGTATTCGTCTGTCGTCGCTTTGTTTCGCATGGTCCATTCAATGATGCGACTAATTCGTTGGAAACTTCCTAAACTATGCGTATACATGGTTACTGCGGTATGCGACTGTCCTCCGATTGAACGCGCTGTTTTGCGGTAGGATGAGTAGTGAGTGAAATGGAGCAATTAACGCTGGAATATTGTTTCTGAATCTGAAAATAGCTATCGCGATCGATATAACACTGCGATGATAGTGTGCGAGGCGGAGAGAGCGTAGGGCGTCGTGACGTTTGTGGCATTCGTGACGATGTATGTAATTTCAGGTTTTCGTAACACCCACAAACTAACTGTCCGAGAATCTCCCCTATCTCTCTTTCTTTCTTGGTTTTAGACACTTGTGAGCTATTAGCCAGGATTAAAACGGGATTGTGCCGTAGACTGTAAAATTGCATTTTACGTAGTTTTCTCGAATTTGTCGGAACAGATGTTGTCTGCGAAAATGCAATTAGTAGCAATTACTTTCACTCAAGAGATAAAGATTGTCCGCATTATCGTACCCTAAAAAAATCTCTTGTACTTTTTTTTTTTTTTTTTGAAATGCATATATTATATATTTATATAAGTTTAATTAATACATATTTCATTAATACATTCAATTAATACACATTTTTATGTAGGTTTCTGCGCGTTAAAAATTTAAAGCACTAAATTGATCATTCAATTAACTGAAAGGAAGTCTATGCTCTGCAGACCTACATTTCTTCTCACGTCCGTCAGTATATTGCGATTTTCCGCACAGTCGGAAGTCACTTCTGATCGCCGATAAAAATTTCATGAGCGTTCGCAAGTGATGTTTTTAAACACACATTTGCACGTATCTAGGCACGTCAATTCGGCCAAGAAGTCACGTCGTTTCTAGCAGTCCGTAAAAGAAGTGCAGAATTTATGCACAGCGCAGCGAGAAAGAACGTGCGCGAAAGAATGCCGGCGTGAAAATTGAATGTGTGATCTCCATGCATCGGTGTTAAGGTAGCGAAGGCAAATAGAACGGCAGTTGAGGACGAACAGAATTGTTTCGATGTGGTGCGCTTCAACAATGGTACACGTCGGTACGGAGCCGTGAAGTATGCAAATTGTGAATCACTCTGGACCGTACAACTGCGGTTGTGTAGCGCAGAAAAAGTTTTTCACTCTTCTTTGTACCGGGAGTAGCCAATATTCGACTCACAATTGGTCGAATAAGCGTATCCGCCGTTCGTGCGGAATCGACCGTTCAGAAGATACGATCTGGTGGATTTAGAATCCCGTGAGGACGAGGACTTTTATCTCTATCGTAATTTTTATCGAGCCCTTACTACGAATTACGTTGTTATATGTCTTTTATCAGTAACAGAATTCTAAAATTATATGACGATTTTAAGATTATTACATGAAGACGTAAATGAGAAAAATTAAATGAAAAATGTGGAATATGAAAAGAGGTCGAGAGTAATGTACATACAACTAAGCAATATAAAAATAAATTTATCTGACGAAATATATTTAATATAATGATAAATTTGAATGTAACTGAATTGAATTCAATAATAATTGTATTTCTAAGTGATCCTTTTCAGAGAGAATAAGTAAAAATATATATTATAGATAAAATATATAGTAATCTTCCGGAATATATACTTCTAACGGAAATATATTAAATCTCTTTAGTTGAAGAAATCCCAGAAGTTTCGAGAATAATTAAGAGTAAGATTTGAGATAAATTTTGGTTATTCAACTTTGAGAACTTGAGCCTTTTTCGCTTTCGAGAACTCGGTTCTTTTTCGCTTTTTTTTTATTTTCTTCTTTGATAGTTTTATTATTTTTGAAATTATGTGTGTTTAAAAGTTGAAATTTATTTGAAGCGTATACAACGTTTCACAAGAGTTATCGTCAGAAATGGCTGAATCGGACAGTCCTTTTGTAACAAGCCACAAACTGTCTGAAGTTGTTTGCATTCAATTCTGTACATATGTTATTCCTATCAAACTTTCGCTAAATTTTCACCTAACATAGTCGTTCTTTCATTTTCCCCCGAAGAAAGAAACAGTAGATAGGCGCATATAAGTTTGATGTTTTTTCAC